TCTTGGAGGTGTTTCATGTTGATGAATTGGGTTGTTGGTATAACGATGACCTGGCTTGGTTGCATGGTCTGTTGAACCTGAGTATGCAGTATATGGTTTGCATAAACTGGCTGGGGAAAGTGTTGAACTTGGTATGTCGATTGTCGGCTTATAGACTCACCCGAATTGAAATGGGCTAGAGTTGACCCATCGACTGGAGTTTGAACTACGTGGCCATGCAAGAAGGCTTGCAGGATAGGATCACCACTTGACTACGATAGGCGATGTGAGCTGCTATGATGACTAGACCTTTGACCTTGGGCAGTGAGGCCCGCCTATCCCTGACTTTGGCTAGATTTAGGATATTATCTTGCTTTAGTGTTAGATTCAAAGAGTAAAGGAAGGCCAAAACTACTACTAGATGGAGTATGCCCTCGAGGTAATCCGAAACTAGAGTAATGACTTGAGATAGTCCCCTGGCCCTTGGATGGATTGACAGGTTAGCATCCCTAGGGTTATCTTAGTTTGAGCCGACAAGTTGGACATGACCTATAACTTGAGCTTCTGACCTAACTTGCATAGATTAACTATGCTGGATGGTGTACCCTCGGTCAAGTCTTGAAAGAATGCATGCACCTTAGGATTGTCTTGATTCCGAGTTAGGTTAAACCCTGACCTTTATTAGTGTTGGGTTGCTTGGGTAGACTTTCCCTAGCTTTGTGTGAACCCACTTGCCCCCTAACTGGTTAATTGTTAAGACTGTAATGTTGTGCTGCTAATTGAACATCGGGATTAACCCGACTGGGATTGACTAACTCAGAGATTTGGGTTGAGGCCTTATTGGTATGTCGACTGAATATAAGACTAACCCCCATGTCTTGGAGGATTGCCCCAGGCTTAACTCCTTGACTGTTCAGGGTGTTATGAATCCTACGAACCTGTTGGCTTATGACTTCTAAATCATGGCCTTGAGGGTTACCAATTGGGCGGCTTAGACCACTAGGTATGGTTCCATGCAGGTTGAAACTTAGCTCACTGACACAAGTACTATAGATTTGTGAGGGAGCATTGTGACGGTGCCTCTCAGACAGACTAGGTTCCCTAGATTTAAGCTAAGCTGGAGCATAGGATTGGACCTTACTCTTCTTTGATCCTTGGCCATGACTCCTAGACTTGTGCTTGATTAGAAAGGTTGGACCTAGCTTGGGGTTGGACCTAGACTAGGCTATGACTTGAACTTAACTGGACCTAGTTGGACTAAGACTTGAATCTGGCTAGACCTAGGCTTAATATAGGTTAAAATGAGGCCTAGACCAAGGGTGAGCTTTGTTTGGATTTTATGGACAGACTTGAAGTCAAAATCTGGTTTAGACCTGATTCAAGAGTAGAGCTTAATTAGGCATGAGCCTTGTCCTAAACCTAGAAAGACCTGGGTCTTGACTTGATGAACTCAGGTTTGAACTCTAAACTAAAGTGAACCTAGTCTAGTTCTAGGGGCAACTCTATACTTAGAACTAGGCTAGGACCTAAAAAGGATGGATCTTGCTAGACTCGATGGGTTTTGGTTTGAACCTAAGCTAAGATGAACCTATTCTAGTTCTAGAGGCAACTCTATACTTAGATTTAGACTGACATCTAGGCTAGATGGGTCTGAGTCTTGGCTTGGATCGAAAGGGGGGCTAGGTTCGAACCTGGGCGTGAACCTGGTTCGGACCTAGGTTAGGCTGAGTACAAGCCTGGGCTTGGACCTATAAGGATTGGATATCAGACCGGGTGTTGACCTGGACTGGATCAAGGTTGGGTTAGGCACGAGCCTTGGCTCAGATCAAAAGGGGGCCTAGGTTCGGACCTAAGTGTGAACCTAGTTCGGACCTGGGCTAGGCTGGGCATAAGCCTGGACTTGGACCCAGAAGGTTTCAAATTTAAACCGAGTGTAGACTCAGACTAAGGTATAGGTGAGATTTGGTGTGAGCCATGGCTCAGACCAAGAAGGGGACTAGGTTCACACTTGGGTGTGACCCTGGTTTGGACATGGGCTAGACCGAGTACACGCCTGGACTTGGACCCATAAGGTTTCAGCTTGGACCAGAAATGGATCTGGACTAAGATCTAAGACTAATCAACTCTAATAAGCAAACAAAGCACTCAAAAACTTTCCCCTAAACTATGGGTAGAATAGATCTGAGTGGGTTACTAACTATAAATATGTAACTAGGATGAGTGAGTCCTTACGTAGATCTTAGCCACATGTTAAAAGGAATCATTCATGTCCTATTGTGTGTGGAGTTGCTTTGAGGCTAAGGATTATGGAGGGGCACTCACTGTCAAAGTTAAACAAATCCCAACTGCCTTGGCTCTCAAGGCTAGGTTCCCCTCACGACAGTTAATGTCGAATTTTGGGGGTTTTCAAAAAAAAATGTTGGTTTCCCTGGCTTCCCTGATCCGTTGTATACAGTATGTGTAAAGGAACACACAAGTGAAAAGAAAATAGCAAATAAGCAAATACACAATAAAAGAATGTGAGCAGTTTGTACAGATTGTGCCAAGTGATGTGTGCTTCAAGTATGAATTCAACCGATCGAGAGCACAGTTGTGGTATAGGGGTGAACAACCCTTAAGAATATAGACAGTTAATAAAAGTGGAACCAGGCACAACCCATGCCTAGTTGAGCACGCCCCGAGTCGAGGGTGACTCGACCAGGGCACAATTAGAGAGAGAGTATATGTGACTCTTGAAAGTTTATCTTTTTTTATATATAAAATGAATTAGAGAGTAGTGGCCAATGCTGAATTAGAGAGTAGCTCAGAATACCCAACGTTGGGCACCAAACTGTTTTGGGAGATCTTCAATTGAAGATCCCTCAGATCTGGACACCACAAACTCAATTATTAAAAGTGATAGAGAGTGGGGGTCAATCGAATTTTAATCTGAGGCCATATCTCATCAGAAATGAGGAGATCTTCTCTCATATTGGTAGCAGAAATAACATTGATAAAAAAACACAAAATATTAAATGAAATAGGAATAAAATCCTAGATCTAATAAAATAACTGAAAAATAAAAGAAAATAGGATGAGAAAAATACCTGGTCGGGCTAGTTGGCTCGGCAAACCCGAAGCTTCAAGGCCTCGCCCTTATCAGGATCGCGACTGTAATTTCCACCACCGTGGATCATCCATATCTCTCTTCAATGTTGACCAAGCCTTGGCTTGGTTGAATAGTTTTCTTAGATCTAATCTGAGCTTAAAGATGCAGGTTTAATGGCTAGGGCTTGTTCTGTTTTTTTTTAGATCTAGGGTTTCTCACAAGTTCTCTTTGGTCTCTAGAGTCTCTCATTTTCTCAGCTTTTTCTCTCTCTGATTTCCTAGGTTAAGCACGTCTAACCCTAAAAGAATACACATCCCCCTCAAAAGAGGTACACACATAATTGTATTTTCAAAAGAGGTGTAGAATGGATAACTACTAAAAAAATCACAAGATTAAATGGGTGTAGAATGAATAACTACTAAAAACCACAAGATGATGTGTATGTTTTATAGATTCAAAGGGGTGTAGAATGGATAACTACTAAAAAAACCACAACATTAAATGGGTGTAGAATGAATAACTACTAAAAAACCACAAGATGATGTGCCAAGATACTAGATCAGGATGAGGACCAGGATGAGGACCATGGATTAATATGTTTTATGGTTTAAGGGATTTCTAGAATAGAATATCACAAAAGTTTTCAGTTTTAAAATGAAGTGTCTACAGTAGCGCTCATAAATAAACATGAAAATACAATAAGAGACCATTTACTTTAATACAAGGAGGTCATATTCAAATGGGTGGTTGTGAATGTATTGTTGACTAGACTCAAAGTTGATGTTTTTTTGGAGAAAGCTTTCTATGCTTCCCCTACAGCATAGAAGCTTCCCCCACTTTTTCAACCATTGATTTAAAATAAAGAGCTGAGATTCGTTCACTCAAGTTGTCACAAAATGGGGGCACGGGCTCAACCGGTAACCCATTTGAAATAGCCCGTAGTACAGAGAGATAGTGTCCAATTTTTAGGTTTAGAGAGAGAGAAAGTACGGGAGAAGAAGGGAGAAACACAGGTAAGATGGTCTATTCCACTAAAAATTCTTTCACTTTTTGTTTATTTGTTTTTGTAGGTTTTATCTCCTTACTTTTTTCTTTGCAATAACAACTTTGAATCTCCATTAATGGTCGAATTTGCAAAAAGAACTCTCTGTGAAGTACAACCCTAAGCTTCATTAAAAGACTTTATAGCATAGCTTGTTCTTTGAAAGCTACTCCAAGCTTCTTTAATTGCAGATTTGTAGAGGAAGCACTGAAACATAGGCAAGGACTGCATTGCGGAGAAACTGAGCTCTATTAATGGTGGATTTACAGATTAATCTCTAAACAGAGAGGACCAATCTTACTCTTTTGTAGAGAGCCAGAGAAATACGTTGAGTTTTGTAAGAACCAATTGGAGCTTCATCAATGACGGATTTGCATGGGAAGCTTTGAATAGAAAAGACCATCTCTCTCTAGTACGGGCTTATTTCAAATTGTTATAAGTTGAACCCGTGCCCTTATTTTGTGACATCTTGAGTGAATGAATCTCAGCACTCCATTTTAAATAAATGGTTAAAAAGGTGGGAGAGGATAGAACTTCTATGCTATAAGAGAAGCATATAAAGTTTTCCCTTTTTTTTTTTTTCAAATTTTGTGAAACACCCTTAGCCATTTGGTATTTAATGGCAAGTAGCAATTGTGACCTTCTTATAAGGAAAATAATTGGTCTCATATTACATATTTGGTGTGTGTGAATATACTTCATATAACTTGAAAGAAATTCCTTCATGTGATTAGGTGAGAAAATATTTTCACACTAATTAACTTTTAATTAGCGTAACATAACGCTTCGTAATTAATTAGCCAAAAAAAAAAACAAAAAAAAACCTACAATTTATTATTATTATTATTTTTTCACTAAAACACTTTATCGCAAGTATTTTCACACGTTCTTGACAGCTGGTGACTCAAAATGTCTTCATATTTCAGATCGCCTCCCTGAGGTTTGCAGGCACTCAATTCCAATGATGTTTTGAGAAGAGCATGAGCCCCATCGATTCTCTCTCCCCAATGACTGACAATTCCTGAGATGCATCTCTTCTGCTTCAATAAACACACGGACAGTAACATCAGTGGAACCATATAGCATCATCATTCCTTGTTCTAATATTGTTTCCATGAAACTGGTTCGCAAGGATCTCATCCCTAATGGTCCTGGCAGTGCCAAGGTTATTCTCCCAAATCCTTTTCTTCTTTTCTCACAATAATATCCTCTCCAAATTCATTTCTTTGCCATCTAAATTCAGTTTATTTGCACCTAAATTTTTTATTTATTTTCCATCTAAATTCAGTTTATTTGCTTTATAAATTCAGTTTATTTGCATCTGAATTCATTTCTTTCCCATCTGAATTAAGTTTATTTACTTTTTCCTTTTTGTGCTGCAGATGATTCCCGAGGAACCTGATGATCTATGGCATGTCTACAACCTTGTCTCTCAGGGCGACAGGGTTATGGCTGTCACTGTGAGGTATACTTCCTCTTTATCTTATCTCCTTTCGTTTAGTGGGGTAAAATTGTTGTATAGTTCCAGTACAGATAAAGTTTTTAATCCATATCTGTTGTTTGAACTTCCAAATTTGGTTGTTATTTAGTATCATATTTGCTGTGCATAACTCATTGTATTAGATGCAAAATTGTAGCTTCAATTTCATGCAATGGGTCGTAAGAAGTTGTCATTTATTGTTTTACATGCAAAATTTGTTTGGAGCTAGAATGCCTTCTTTTTTGGTTGTTGTTTGACTTGATTTGTGTTGGTCTATGTCGGTTTTTGGTCATTTGGGACATGCAGAATTGATTGTAAAGGGAATGGATTTCACATCTAGTAAATACCCATCTTTGCCTAACTTGGTTTTCGGCTAGGGCTTTCTTTCCTTGGCAGAAAGTGGTTAGTATGGCTTGTTAATGGGTTTTCTACTTTCCATCCCCTTTGGTCCCCATTTCTATTCTGGGTAATCCTTTGTCCATAAAATAAGGTAGACATGAAACTAAAATTTGGCTATCTGCAATTAGAAACAGTAAATGTTTTGATGAGCAATGCTCCTTTTCAGGTGAAAGAGAAGTGATGTGAGGCTGTGAACTGCCTGAACAGCTACAAAAAGCTTTCCTCTTTGACTCAAAAAAGAGGAAAATCCACCCCAAGAACTAGAAAATTTACAGTCAAATAAGTAAAGGACAATGCAGCCAGCATATGTAGACTTGAATTAATAAAGTCAATGTTAGGTTTCACATATTTAAATTGAACTTCTTCTTGTTGTTACTGAAGTCCATCTTGGAAAATAGCGACTGTTTTTACTGATAAAAAAAAAAGAATGAAAAAACAATGCTGCTGTTTTCTTATTCTATATTTATATTCACCATTTAGTTCTTTGAAAGCCAACCAAGAAGCTGATTGAATCTCATTTTTGCTTCTGGTGTGAGTGCCTGTCTCCTTCAAGCTAAAAAAAGTCAAATGGGTGATTGCATTGCATGATTGCTTGCATTGCTTTCCTATTTATCTTTCTGATACTTATTTATCACAGTTTCCCATTGGGTTTTTAAACAATTGGGGTCTCCTTTTTTAAGATTTACGGTCTTCTAGGAGTTAGATTTGACCAATAAGTTGCTGCTGCCATATTTAATCAATGTAGTTTTACTCCCAGCTATTTTTTACGTTGTTACAGGCTACAGGCATTCATTAATTGGAATAAATACTTTCAAGCTTAGCTCTAGGAACCCTAATCAACTACGCTGTTTGCCATTGGATGTGCTTTCTCTTTGTGTGATGTGCAATTGTAGCATTAAGGTGGCTTTTGGAAAGGCTTCTGAATGGACTCTATTGCTATATACATGAGATGGTGTTGGCAATCAACAGTGCTGGTTTGCCGACATCATGTCCCTGATATAATTCAAAATGCCACTAAAATTGGTGTTTGGCTTTCTAGTTGAGAAGGACTCCTTACAGTTTCAACAAAGTGCTGATACTAATGGCTCAGTCTCATCACCCAATACTGATTCCAAATGAAGCATAAGTTTTGCATATAACAGAAATTCAACAACAGAAATTTTGGAAACAATGTAGTAATTTAGCAATATTCTAGTGTAATTTTTAAAGAGCACAAGTTTTATGATGCCAGCTGATATGGTTTAAAGAGTCTCCCTCATTACCCAAAGGAAATGAGTTAGAACCAATAGTAATTCTGAGCCCACAGATTACTTCTTCCTACTTTTAGCGCTATGAATTCTTCCATGGTATTGCTCTCAGTTTGTGGATAGAGTTGATATCCAATCAATAACAAGTCGGACAAGTCTCAAAAGTGTTCCTGCAGGTGCAACCCCGTGATCACTGGGAGGGAATTCTTAGATCTATAATTCATGTGGAATATCTCTCTCTCTCTTGCTCTTATATGCATTTCATGTATGCATATACATGCTGTCTAACAATGAATAGCTGCACTAAATTTGTATATCTTTATGCTTTCTTTGCTTTTCAAAGTTTATGAATATCTTGAAGAGAAAAGGCTTGTTGCATCACTCTACTTTGGAATTTAAGCTCTATGGGTGAGTCCTAACGTGATCCAATTATCAATGGTTGCTTGAAGTTGTTTCTTCAAACCTGCTTCACTAATACATCTGAAAATAGTTATTAATGAGTTTTTGGAGTGCGTTTTATAATTTGGAGTATGGAATAGTCTTTTGGGGCTTCTTACTCAGTAACTTTTGGAAAAAGTTATGATTTCTATTGGTCCCGGTGTGCTTTTTGACATATATTTGATAATTTATAGGAAAGTCCAAAGGGAAATGGTCTCTGGAGGAAGGGATGTTGAACGTGTGAAACTAAAGCTGGAGATTGAAGTTGAGGTATAATAATGTGCTATTAAAGGGAACATTCTTCAGTTTTCTTGGTAGTAAATAACTATTTCATTTTGTGCAGTTTTTCTTCTTGTTATACAAAAGATGTTTAGGATGTTCCTTAATCGTTATTTTGTAGTTTCCTAATCAGTTTATTTTCTTGCTTTAATGCAAATATTGACAAGCATTTAATCTTGTACTAGTAGATTTATGTGCATTGCACATAGAAATATAATTAGAGAACCAAAAAAAAAAAAAAAAAAAAAACTTTAATATGAAACAGAAGTAATGGCAAAATAAAATAAATAAAACATTTAACAATAAAAATATAGGAAGTAATTTATAAAGAGATGGGAAACACATACCTCCTTGTGAACTTCAATCTTATGAGTGGAGATCTCTACATTTCATTAAACTCTCAACCAACAAAAACATTAGAAATCCAAATTGGAACAGTTCATGTTTCATCAAATGCCAAAAAAAGGAACAAATTCAGATTTCAAAGAAAAGAAATACTAAAGATAAAAAGGAATATGAAGACAATAATTTTAAATTATAAAAACTATAATTTTATGGGTGTGGTTTCTATAAGGTTGCAACCTTAAACAATCCAATTAAGGCGCACCTCCAAATTGTACCATAACATGTAATTTAGGTGAAAACAATTATTAGGATTATCTCAAAATCTATTTTTATATCTCATTATAAAATTTAAAACTCCAAAAAAGATTAAAATTAAGTAGATCTATAAACATATGAAAATCTTGAAATGGACGGTCTAGTAATGTATTGCAAGATGTATTATTTTTTAGACTCAATATATATATTTTTTTCCATAAGCATATAGCTCGATGTCGAGATGACCAATTAGAGGTTTTTGCAACATTAAAACAACATTTTCCGATGGATTTTTGAGGTGCATCTGTAATTCTACATTTTATGGTTGCAGCCTTATATAAACTTTTTCCTTTAAAAAACAATATATTTTAACAATAATGATTTTAAAAATTATAACTTTAAATAAGTTCTATAAAAATTGTTTAAAATAAGTGCGAATGTTTTAAATCATAAAAATAATATTTAAAATAATAATTTTAGATAATTAGTTTGAGTTGGTTTATTGAATATCAAGGTCACCTGCCCTACATTTTATCTAGGAACAGTCTTGGTGTATTAAGCCAAGTCCAAGTGACACATTTTAAATTTTTTTTGTCATTGTAAAACAATAAAGCTCCAAATACATTGGTTTTACATTCAAATTGTCAAGAGTACATAACTTCCAGCCACTAAACTTGGCTTTACACACATTTGAAAATAAAAATACAAGTCTAATTGGTCCCTTTGATAAAATCCAAACTCAAAATACAAGAAGGAGATTGAATAAATACAAGACTCTACTCAAGTACTCAAGTGCTCAAGTTTACAACACTGTACAAGTTAAATTCCGCGTTAGAATTGCATCGAACACTTCAAGATCAATACCCTTCTCCACCCAAACATATATTTATATATACATAATTGACTTGATCATGGTAAGGAAAAATTCAAAATTCAATTTGCGTGGTCTCTGGACAATGATTTATGATGGCATTAAGGCATAGGCTAAATGACATAAACACAAACATACTCCAAATATAATCTGCTCAATTCCTCATGGCACAAAATTTATTTACTCTAAATTGCAGCAAATAAAATTGTAAGCAATCAATGGGAAGCCAATGGTCGAATCTTGTGTGCCCGAGTTACATAGGCAAACCTTTTAAGGACTTAGTTTTGTCTCATAGATGATAGCACGGATGACTTATGTCATAAGGGCTAATATCACTCACACAAATGGGAAGCTTATTATGCTCACCAATATACCACTTGATTATACTCAAAATGAGAGAGAAAGATGAAAATTTAAAGCACAAGACCATTTGATGAAGCCAAGTGCGAACAACTCATTTAGAGCACATGATTATAACCATATAGTGAAGCAATTTCTCAAACACTTTTCTCAAAACACATACTCTAGAAAATGGTATTCAAATGGTCATGAAATACTCATTGATTCTCATGAAAGGGGTGCTCAAAATCTCAAAAAAAACAGGTGCATTAAGTTTGAAGAAAATGGTGCCTAATGGTAGGATCAAAGGATTATACTATGCCTATTATGTAGTATACATGCATAATTTAAAAAAAGCTAGTACAAGATCATAAAAAACTCAATGAAATATAGGAAAGATGCTACTGTAATGGACGATTTACAACAAGCAAACTATGAGGAAAAAGCGCAAAATAGGAAGGGAAAAGGTCATGAGGATTAGAAACCTTAGATCATGAGGATTTGACACGTTAAATTTACCTTTAATCATGAGGACTAGACACTTTAGAGCTTAGCATGCACAACCATTGTCATGTGGCTTCACCAAGGGAAAGAGAAGAGAAGCTTAATAGAGGAAAGGGAGAAGGCTCAAAAGGAGGGGCGTGGAGGCTACTCTCTCTTCTTTCTCTTTCTAGACAGGCTCTCAAGTGTGTAGAGAATGGGGTTGGAAAGGGTTTAAATAGAGTTATGATAGTGAGATATTTATGAGTGAATGAATCTAAGCCTTTTATGCTATTCATCTATGGCATATGAGAGGGCTACAATTCTAGCCACACATCCATGTCTAGCCATCGAGATTAATGGATGTGATTTGCACACCATTATCACTCCATAAAACCCTAGATCAAACCCATTTTACCAAGTTGTCCTTGTCCTATAAAACGTTTTCTCATATGCCAGTTACTCATTTCATAATTGTCCTTAGACTTTATGAAAATAATAAAACACCAAAAGGGAAGGGGCATGCCTTATGGTAATTTAGAAACTTTATTCCACCTAAGATGATATGTCACATATAAAAACAAAAGGATTAGTCAGTGGGGATTTGAGCCCCTACCCTTTGGTGAGAATGGAGTCAGAGACTTCATTGTAAGTCTCGTTGGTACTACCGCTAAGGCCCCAGCCCATTCTTAGATATCTCACATATAAGCCAATCACAGTGTGCCATTTCATGGAGTTCACGTGGAATTTACATGGGCTTAGCCAATAGAATCAAGCCACCTATAAATTTAAACATGTTATCTTTTAAATAGAATACCATATTCAAAATCTAATCCTTTACCATATGAACTTTGAAAGGAAAGAAACCTTTCTGAGGATTCCTCAAGTTCTGATAATGTGCTGATTTAGTAAGGCTCCTTGATCTTAAGAGGCCCAGTCTTGGACTTAGATCTCTAAAGTGTGTTTTTGTGGGCTGTGCTGAACATGAAAAAGCCTCTAGAGTTTTGGACCTAAAATCTAATGTGATTATAAAGTCCATGAATGCAGAATTTTGGAACATATTTATTGGTGAGCAAGATAATGATTATGAAGAATGACATGGCGAAGGATAGATTTTGGAGAGCATGAGAGGTGTGAAGAGTTAGAACCAATGAGAAGAAAGAGAAACATGACATTAACTGATTTTGGACCTGATTTTCCTATGTATCTTTGGAAGAAGATCCTTAATGCTTCAAAGAGGCCATGTCCACATAGGACGTTCCTTTTAAAAGGGTAGCCAATGATGAGATGGAATTTATATTGGAGATTGACACTTGGATACTAGTGGATTTACCTCTTGGTGCTAAGCGTTTGGGATGTAAATGGAATTTCAAAAGGAAACTAAAAATGGATGGTACTTTTGAGAAATATAAAGCAAGACTGGTTGCAAAGGCTTTAAACAAATACAATGTGTCAATTTGTTTGACACATATGGCCCGGTCGCTCGAATAACCAACATTTGAGTTCCCTTGCCTTTAAATCGATTTACCACCTTGAGATTCACTAGATGGATTTCAAAACTGCTTTTCTCCATGAGAACTAGATGAGCAAATTTATATTGAGCCACTGAGGGATTTGTCCTTAAGGAACAAGAACCCAAGGTTTTGTGAACTTGTGCAATCCTTGTATGGATTGAAATTAGCACCGAAATAATGACATGAAAAATTCAATACAATTGTCTTATTGGATATTAGATTATCGATGCTAATACATATGTGTACGCCAAAGTTTGCGATGGTGCAGTTGCTATTATTTTTATGTGTAGATGATGTGCTGATACTAGGTAATAATATTGTACGCATTGAAGACACAAAAGTACAAATTTTTTGTCTTTTGAATATAATTTAAAAGACATGGGGTAAGCTGATGTGATAGTTGGAATTAATATAACAAAGAACCTATTGGGTATATTTTAACCCAGAGCCACTATATAGAGAAAGTGCTCAAAAGATTTTATAACTTTGAATACAAGCTAGTTTCAACCCCTTATGGTGCTCATGTTAAACTCAAGAAGAACCATGGTGGGCCTGCATCCCAATTGAACTATACAAGTATGTATTGTCATGTACTTGACATGATATGGACTTTGCTATGAGAAAATTGAGTAGATAGTCTAGTAACCCAAATCAAGAGCATTGGAATGTGTTCTATAGGTTCTTGAGATATCTCAAAGGAACTATAGACTATGGCCTATGTTATGCGGGCAAGCTCGTTGTATTGGAAGGATACAAGGATGTAATTGGATTACAAATTTTAAGGAATCCATGTCTATTGGTAGATGGATTTACACATGGTTGGGGGGGTGCCGTTGTTTGGGGTTTTAAAGAGCAGACTTATATCTCCAAATCCACGATGGAATCAGAGTTAATTGCCTTGGAAGCTATTAGAAAAGAGGCTGAGTGGCTAGGAAATTTGTTGGTAGATGTACCAGTGTTTAGGGCCCATGCCTGCAGTCTCACTATGGTGTGACCGTGAAGCTACTTTATACTGAGCGAAAAGTAAAATTTACCCAGAAAATCTTGATACATTCACTTGGTACAAGTTGGTGAGACTTTTGCTTGGAGATGGAGTTATATAAGTACTCCATATCCTATTTAACAAGAACTTGGCATATCCACTAACAAAAGGCCTTGTAGGGGATCAAGTTTGGATGATAGTAAAG